CATTCTAGATATTATTGTGCAAGAAGGAAACTAAATATCTAAAGTCCTAAATTGACTAGATCTTGATTTTGCTTGGCTTGCACTCCAAACAAATCCCAATCACACGCCCACTTTTTATTTTCGGCCGCCTCATGCGCGCATGCCCAAACCCTAACCGCCTTAGCGCGCGCCGAACCATGCGTTGCCTATTCCTTGGCGCGCGAGGCATCGCGGGTCTCGTCCGTGTTGCACGCGTGCGCTGTTGCGCGCGCCCCGTCCGTGCTGCCTGCCCCTTGCGCGTGCGTCTCCCCGCATGCGTCTCCTAATCCTGCCCCGCCTAGGACATCCGCGCCTGTCGCCCAATCGCGCGCCAACGCCCTCGCCCAGCTGCCGCCGCCTTCCTCATGCGCGTGTGCCCCATCGCGCGCTCTCGTCCGCGCGCCCTCGTCACTTGCGCGGCTGCTGCCCACGTTCGACGTCCCCGTGCTTCTTCTCGCGTTCGCTTGTCCGCCCGCGGGCCCCGTCGACGCCTGCGTCCCGATCGCCTATCGCGCACCCGCGTATACCTGCAGTTCCACGCGTATCGCCGACGCCCGCCTCTTGCCTACCTCCTGCGCACGATGACGCGTCACTCGCGTCCAACATCCTGGTGTCGTGTCTCCGTTTAACGCTTCGACCTTTCGACCCCTTGCGCGCATCATGACACGATGCGCGCCATCCGTCTGATAGCTGGTCCTCGCCGATCCCTTTGTCCCCCGACGGCCATGGATCCCAACCATCCAACCCAATACAGTCTCCGGCACGCCATCTCCAACCATCCTCCATTCCTAGCCTTCCTCGTCTTTGAAACTCCGAACACCACGCCCGTTTCTTCCTAGTGCACGGCCAACAACATTGGCTTACCTTTTGCGCCTTTGATTTGTGTCGTCTGTTGGTCCGGCGCTTCTTGACCTTCAACTTAGCCTGTGGGCCACATCCTTCCGGTCAGTCTCGTACGCCTGATGGTCGATAAATCGGACTAGATGGTTCCTCCAACATGTTCTCCAACCAAATATCGAGACCATTGTCACCTTCCTCATCGGACTCGCCGGGGTTGATGACCACTTCCGTATCATTCCCCTCCTCTTCAAGAATTTCCTTGTCCTCAAGGAGTAAGAAATTTAGCGCACCATCATCTTCACGGTTTAGAACTTCACCCACCATTGCTCCTT